ACTTACCATGTGAAGTGCAAAGGGCCATGCAGGCCAGGAGAACGATGCACTGGATGGCAACACTTGTCTTCATCTTAAAGCTTTTCACGTATTGAGTGGAGGATCTACTGAAGGCTCAGTCTTTAACTGGTTTGTTCTTCTCAGATATGAAGGATCTCTGCTGCTGTGCGTCTCCGTCACTTCTCGAGCTGCCTGAGTGTGCAGGGCTGTGAGGTTCATCATCTCTGAACTCCTTATATACACTCACAGCTACGTGGACTCTGGCCAAGGATGTCTTCCTAAGAAGTGGCTGCAAAAATCTGTTTCCTGTCCTCTCACAGCAGAAATCCAGTGGCTGTGTTGTACTTTCAATTCCTGTTAACAGCTCATTGCGTCACATTTGAGTTTACAAATATTCAATTCCAAGGAAAGTTGTTCAAACGTGACCTTCAGCGAGACCATACAGCTGTGTTGCAGTGGATTTTGAAGGCTGGTGGGACAGGTTGTCAAGATCTTCCTTTATCTGGGCTCTGGGACTTAATACCATCTGTACTTCACATGCAGAGTTGGTCTACAAGAAGACCAAACAGTGTATTTTTCTAAAGTTCAGTCTCTCAGGCTGCAAGTTGTAATGAATCCTATGTGCAAGTTCACTAAGGAAGATCTGTAATCAGTGATCTGCCTGCTTTCGTAGGTGTTCGGCTGCTAGTCTGTCCTCTACAACGCTTCCACTTTACCTCACTGCTGACATCACAGCTCTAGTACAATCATCTTCTTGACCAACTTCTTTGAGTCAATCAGCTCCCGTTCAGCGTACTTTATATCTCAGCTCTCTTGTGTTATTCTGCCTTTCTGACTCTCATTCACTCAGCCCAACTACTTCCCATCTCTCACGTCATGCTGGTCACTCAGAGCTCCATCCAAGCCTCCACCTTCACCACCACCTGCGTCTAGACTAATTCCTGTCAGTGCTGAGGTTTTGTTCTTGTATGATGGGTTCATGTTTGGGACCTGAATTACCTGCTG